GTTCTTCTTTGTTCTCCGACATGACCCATAGTTCCGTCATAATTGTTCAAACCCCCTTTTTTTCCAGAAACATGAATACTGTAACTTCTCGTCACAGCCGGAAACGAAAATGCTGTGAATATTTTCGGATCACTTTTAGAAAATCGCATCTAGAAAAGGTAAAGGGCAGTTCTTTATAAAGAGACATTGGAGCGATTCATCACTGGACAATCTGCAACAAAACGGTCGTAATCATGCAAAATTAACTTCACCATACAATAAAGCAAAATGGCAACGTATTAGAGCAGTAGTTTATGGTCAGAGGTGAAAGGTGTGTACAATGAACGAGGTGGGTAATAGCATCGATAGTTCAATCAATGCTGAAATCTGACAGCTACAGAGTGTTAGAGAAAAGGAATAACGGATAACTTGTGCCCAAATTTTGATAAATTGAACACCGATCTTTCTCAATATCCCTGGAAAGAGAAGCTTTCGTATCTTGACCCCAGCAAAATTCAAAGTCGGAAGAGGAAAAGTAATTAAAAATGTGATGGATGCCTACGAGAGTGAAAGGAGGTATAAGGAAGGCTGATAGCTATGTGCGGTAAAAAGTAAGCAAAGTGAGGAATGATTCTTGATATCTTGATGAGTTTTTCCAGACATATCGCGAATTCTTTTCAAATCGAGGAGGACCTAAAGCAATCTACGCATTTATCGAAGCTAAAGATGGAGGTAATCTGCTGAAAACGTCCCATTTCAACGAGACAGTGCAGGTAAAAGCTTATTGGAATGATAAGTGATAAAGCTTAAAATTAATCAGTCCCTTTTGAGGAATACCATACAGTCCTCTGCAGCCTGATCGACTCAGAATAGTAAAACTTTTAAACACGACTTGGCCTTAACAAATACGTTCGAGGGTCAAGCGGTTCAGAAGTCAGTGTTTTTGTCCTGCCGGACGAGGAACTTACTTGCTCCAAACTGGTGGAAGGTCAGACAAGAGACGAATCTGCCGCCGAACCACGCACCTCTGTGTTGTTTGTCAGTATATTAGTTCCCAGGACGTCTTGAGGATCCTCAGTGGAGAGGGGTGTTATAATTGGTCGCTGGAGAAAGGAGCGGGGACGTATTTGCCTCTGAGAGAGATTTCGAGTTATTGACTACTGTCTGCTTTTCCTGCTTCAAAGGCGCTATGTATTACTCACCCCCCCCCCACTTCTCTATGAAAAAAGTCTTGGGGATTTCCTCACACGCGGTGGGGGAGGGGTAGTATTTGCCTTCTGAGAGGAATGTGCGGCGTTGGAAACAATTTCCCTGTTGCTGCTTTTTTTGTTTCCCTTTTTCGCGTGTTGTTTTGTGCTACAACACCCCCCCCCCACTCGACACTCGACAGCGGGCAAAGGTAGGAAAATTTCCGGGGATTGCCGAAAAACCGGTGCGAAGTTGAGAAAATTTCATAAAGTGGTAGGAAGGATAGAGAAGGGGGGGGGTCGTATCAAACCAATTTCTAGTGGGGGTCATATGGACTCGATCAATACCCCCAACTAATGATGGCCCGGGTCCGAAATTGTTGTAGGAAGTCGGAGTTATTTAGGTTGTAAGTAAGATAGGAAAAAGAGAAGCAGAGGAGGAAATTCGGGGGAGTCGTATTTCGCTAAACCTCCTCCCAACGGCAGGAGAGCCCTGTCACTTTAGTGCGAAGATACTGCAAAACTCTGAACTTCATGATTGTAAGTGGTGATTTTTTCATAGTTACCTTCAGTCAGGAGAGTTATGATGTGAAGCCGCTGAACAAAATTTGACGTCTTTGTTCTTCATTCTTCGCAGCGTATATCCCTTTCTGATTCTTTACGTGGACGCAGTACCTTTTGAAAACAGGCTAATGCCGTTTGGACTCCAGCAACTTCGGCACCGAGCTCATTTTTAAATTGCCTAAGTTACCAAATCCGCTAAAAACTTGTATAGGGGTAGTTTAACATCCTGATTACGAATATGACATTCACTCTTGCCGCTGGCGCTAATGGATGACACTACGATTACCTGCGCTCCGCTAAGGCTGAGCCCAAGAGGTAATCGTAGTGTCATCCCTTGGCGCCAGCGCCAAGAATGAGTGTCATAATTGTAATCAGGATGGTAAATAACCCTTGTGTACATATTTTCAGCGGGTTTGGCGACTTAGGTAATTTAAAAATGAGCTCGGTGCCGAAGTTGCTGGAGTCCAAACGGCATTAGCCTGAAAACATCTTCTATTAGCCTCTCCTATTAGCAAAGCCTTCTTCCATGGCACACTTTAGAGTGGTCCACTTCTTAATGTTGCGTTCCCCTTGTATCTTTCCTGGTGCAATACACTTCTGTTGTAATTGTCCTCATTCCCCTGTCCCCCTGCCCATCATACTTGTCCTCCTCTTTCAAATATCGTCATTTCAGGTTCTTGACAAGATTTCAAGAGATTTCTACTTGCGGACCTCTACGGGCGACAAAAATTTCGAGCAATTCTGTCAAGGATTCTGCACTCTCAATGAACCTATTCGACATTTCTATGTGAGTCTCGGCGCTCTGCTTCAAGCGGGACCAGTTCTCTTTTGAGTAGCGCCCTCGCCCTCTCAAGTGGGCAATTTCATGAAATTGATGCTTGTGACCTTTCCGATAAATTGTAGAGCATTCCAGAGTGGCATGTTGATCACCGACAAATATACAAACGAAAGTCGGCATTTGGACTTGGGTTATCCCATCACAACAGTTCTCGGTACAAAGCTGTTTATGGATCCGAACCTCTTCGGTGTGAAAGTTGTCGTCAAAGACAACCAAGGCCAGGAGCTTGTTGTATCATCAGCGAATCGCAAGTATAAAAGCTCCCTGCAGGTCTGTTATTCCTGGCTCTTCCATCTTCGGAATTTCTATCATAAAATCAGTTCATCATATGAAAAGAAACAAAATAGTAAAAGGCCCATAAGCTCTGCCGTTTTTTTTCTCACGCAATTTTTTATATGAATATTTGGAAATATTTCTCTATATTTTCTACGCCGTTCGCGTTGCGTTTTGAAATGGAGTGTCGCATCGACACGAAAGTGAGTTTTCGACAACAACTTTTTGCACTTTATCTCGGGTCTCAATTTATTGAAGAAGTTCGAAATTTCTCTTATACGTGGCCGAGAAAAGATGCTCTCTATGACAGCTTGAATTTGAATCAAGCGATTAAGAGGTGGGTTTTCGGATCTTGTGAATGTGCATTGCATGGAGGCCCTCTTGGAGAGCGAAAGCCTGGAACCTACCCGCTAATTTTCGAAAGTCTAACGCCAACGGGTGTTGGCTGATAACGATGAGGAAGCAGTCCATGACCTCGATCTTTAACATCAATCTCCTGAATAAGGTGATTCAGGAAGGTAGGCTCTCATAGTCAGTTTGACTCAACTTTAGCAACACCACCAGCAGCAAGTTTAGCATGTCCTTGTTAGTTCTTTCTTTACATTCGACTTTTAAAGTTCCTAAGGAATCTTCTGCGCTTGACTACCAATTTTGTCACCTGACACTCCGGTTTGAGCACCTAAATATTAGTGGAAAGCAAAAGATCAACAAAAAAAGTAAGAGGACCGTCGTATAGGGCAGGGAATTCTCTGCAAAACATATACAACTCGATACGAAGCTCTTCATCATTAGCGCGATATTTCAAGTGGGAAAAAAAATGCCATTACTCATGGGCCATCCATAAATCACAATAATTCCTATGTAGAAAGAAGCAAGTGCCATAATGGAAGCCAGTCCAGGGACAGGAAGTTTGGCTCACATTCTGCCCATCTCTGGGTACTGTTGAACTTGTCCCATATTCATCTGGACCAACAAACTTGTCCAATTTGGAAACGAAAAATTGCCCGTGCAATATGCTTTCTCATTTCCAGAATAATAACATTGGACTGCCCATTGGATCCCACGCAGCTATAAAGAACAGGGTTCCGCTGTAAATAATCTTCATCTGAGACACGACGCAATCTTTTTCAAGTTGTAGCAATCTTAAGGTTTGCATAGACGGTTACGCCTAGTTGGCGCTGGCGAATGCTCAGAAGGGAGTCATGTTATGGGCGAAACATTTGGCTCCGGTTATACTTGAATGCACACTTACTTTTTCAACTCTCAAAAGCACAGCCCTTACAAAACAAATCAAATCAAAGGTGTCAATCCTGCTTGACATTCAGTTTCACTGGTCGTTGCAGATACTGGTTAACCGACTCATCAAATTATAAATGGGGAAAGGTTCAAGCTGCGGTAGATACATGCATCTCTGAGACGCGGTAGTGGGCCTGCGTAGTTTGCTTGAACATGGTATGGGATTAGTAGTAGGATTTTTCAATTTGGAACATTCGTCATCGTGTTAGAAAAAGAATGATAACAACTGTCCCAACATGAAAAGAGAGACTCGCCACATACAAAAGAAGTACGCAGTCATACCTACCTCATCTCAGGGTTTCGTAGTATGCATATCTCGCGGAGATGGAAGGTGCCACATCCTGGGTGGTATAATGGAAAACGGACTGCTAAGAAGGCGGACTCATTTAATTGACAACTGGAGTCAAAGCTTGAAACCAGGAAAGCATTTTGTCTTACACCAAACGTGATTGGCTGGCTCAGTTTGTGATTTTTTGTAATTCTTCGATGATACATTCAGTAGAAAGTTGGACCTCAATCACGTTTTGTAACACCCTAACGCAAATCAACGGTGGCGAAGTGCTTTGGGCGCCGGTCATTAGTTCCACATTGCAAGAGGGCGAGGAAAAAGGCGTCACAAGTAGGGCCGCATTTGCGGCATCCCATAAGGGCCTAACTGGTTCAATTATCAGTGTGTAAAGCCACGTAACTGAAAACACTCTGCTAGTTTGTGCATGCTGCTGTAACTTGCAACGACCCATATTCTATAAGTGACTTTTTCTACGCAGAGGGATATATACACAGTAGTGAGCAGGACTACATACAACTCTGTTATGGGAAGGGTTCGTTATCCTGTGTCACTAAACGTTCGTTTTCGTTTGAATTCGTTCTACTGGATTGTAGCAGAAACACCATCTTGTTCTGAATCTTGTTTGTTTAAAATGCGGTCGCCCTCCTCAGTCTTCTTGGTTAAGGGAAGCAGTTTTTGCTGCAACTTGTTAGGTAGCAAAGAGCAGGTGTTTTGCCGTTTGGTCACCCAAAACAATTTTCCACCTCACAAACTAATTGTTACCACCTTTCCGTGCCATTTGAGTTCACTTGATTTCCAGCCTTTGAGATGGAAACTGCAGGAGTAAGACAACCAGTTTTTGATACATGCCTTACTTCAATCCCCTTAAAGACAAAAAGAAGCGCTTGTGGAAGTCTGGCTAGCCAAGTTCAAAAATGGCAACTATGGCCAAAATGATACCCTCAGGACAGTTTTGACACGAACTATTCGGATAAACTTCTGAAGGAAATAACCGTGTCCACAAATGCAGTGCATTCATCGAGAGGATCTCTTCATCTGTCTCCTTGATTTCTCGAAGCTTTGCATCTCTTGCCGCATTTTGTTAGGCCGCAAAGTTTGGGTCGACATGATCAGGTTGAAGTTGCTGACGCACAGAATTATGCAATTTGTACGGTGTAGTGTATTTGTGCGGTGCGGTGCATGACGCCTCAACCAGCTGTTTGCTACCCTCCTTCTTTCCCATACTCTCTATCCCGGTCGCTGGTGAACGCTGGTAGATGCTAGCGGACGCTGGACTGATACCTGTACTTCCCTAGCCTTTGAGACGCTGGTAGACCTAAACAGATATCTTTACTTATGCGACGCTGGCAGTCGCTGACACTGCCGGACGCTCGAACGCTAGTGGTCGTTGGTGGACCCTGGTAGACGCCGGTGGACACTGCCGCAAAGTATGAACGCTGCCTAATTATACTTCGTCACGTAGTATTTGTCGTCAAATCTTCCAGGTAGAGCGGTGGCAGTTGCCTCCGCCTGCCTTGCTCTGCCAATGGTGATCGGTGAATAAACGAATTGGGAAGAAAATAACTAGTGATGGAAAAACTGAGAGACCTCTCTGCATCCCTCTTGAAAGCGGCCCGACTGATTAAGGATATTGACTATATCATACTCACTCTGCAGACGGCGGAAATATAAACATTTTCAACTCCAAAAAATAGTTAATTAAGATTCCAGTAGTTGTGAAGCGCAAAATTAACACACGAGATATAACCATAAAATAATCGGAAAATAAAAAAATAAAAACTTCAGGTCGTAAAGTTTCCCATTTTTTGAATCCTGAATTCAATAGCTTTTTGTGTACGGGACAGAATTTCAGCTGCCTAGTTCTCCAAACTGCATGTTCAAAGACGTTTCAATTGTCAAGTAAAGTTGGGCCTCATGAAGGGTGGTTACAGTACGCTTGTGGGATAAAACACAAAAAAACACAGTTGACAATGACCTCATTATTTTTTGTCAAGTTTGGATGATGAGTGTGAAAACGCCCGAAATACTTGACTACGAAAACCTCAACTTAGGCGGAGAAATAGAGTGGCCTGGTAATTGTGGTCATCCACATAAACCACGAGTATTAGCGACTAGGAATGGTTCATCAGACCAAAGAGGGCGCTAATGCGCTAATGCTTGGGGTTTGCTGCAACATGAAGGCTTGTCAGCATGCCATGTCCTGTGGATTGCATACAACCTTGTCAACACCCTGTTAGCCTTGTTATCCCCCGTTAAGGACCCTGTAAACTCCAGTCAAACGTGTCAAATTGGCTAGTAAAGATGAGGGGGAAAATGAAGAAATAGGGTTGGAGTGATGCTAGAACCATTTCGCCAAGTTCGACAGGAGTTTACGGGGTATATGGCAGGAATTTACAGGAGCTGCAGGATGTGGAAATAAAAAAGAAAACTGAAGACAAAGGAAGACACATACTGACAAGCGCTCACAGGTTTGGCACTCCCAAGGTTACTAGGGTCGAAAAAGCATAGGACGAAATAGAGTGAAAGATACTAAAAAAAGAGTAAAACTTTCAACGCGGTAGATTTCTTTTGCTGATGCACCACGCATCCTACTGCACTTCAAGTAATATATGAGCAAGGAATAGCTACGCAGGCCGAGAAACTTTTATGATCCAAAAGACAGGGATTTCTGCTAAGATGCTTAGTTCCGCCACGAACAACTTTATCGAGGAAGTAACTGCATGTCTTTCAGAACCAGCTACCTAACAATATTCGAGAAGTGGCTCTTATAGTTCTACAATTTCGTGCAGAAATTGGCTCCGAGGTTCAACTTTCAGAGATGAAAGCGTATGAACGATCTATCGTCGCATACTTCCAAGAGTGAGTGATTTCATGCGCCCCTGAATGAGATCTTCATACAACAGATCGTAGGATTTCGGGCTTCCCACGATGCTTAGGCAATCACTAGCTTTCTTTTCTTCTGAAAGAGAAAAGTTACCGTATCTGATCTTGTTTTAATTAATTTAGTTCCCACTCTGATCTCGTTTTAATTGATTTAGTTCTTACAAAAGCGACTTCATTTCTGTTTACATTCTCACCGATTCGTTCATTACCTCAGAAATAGGTAAGAGAGTGTTCTTCGCAAATAGTCCTACTAGAGAGTCCGGCTATTTTCAGTGAGAGCAGGACTTACTTTGCTGCCATTTCTTATTATTGGATTCACCATCATGGCGACGTTCTCGAGTCTAACCTTCTCTCTGAGCGGAATCGTCCAGAAACAGATGAATATACATAAGGTCAGTACTACTCCGAGTTCTTGCCTCATCCAAGGCGTGAATGGATAACATGAAGAGGGAGAAACCAAGCGGTGTATTCTCATGGTGTGGGACCACCAGCGACCAGGAATATGGTATTGTGTAGTAGTAACTCGTAACAAGGGAGGTCATTCAGGTCGTGCCGCGCTTCTTGAAAATGTGTGCTGCATGTTGTAGGAGTCCATATCGTGGCAGGATAGAATTCCGCGACCTTAGGGCCAGGCACTGCATAGGCGTTTTTCCCGATGAGGGTGCTTTTGTAAGGGCCCTATCAAGCCACAACTTTACGTCCCAAACACCCGCCACGCCCGCCCGCCCACAAATGAACGACCGTTTCTGACGCACGTATGTCATTCATTTGCTAAGCAGGTTAGAAACGAAGGATTGGTGTGAAGCGGGCCGTGATGCTGCATGCATACATGGGTACACATATGCAGCCGTATCTTCGGTAGCGGTGATTGGCAAGATGCCTACGGGAAACTCGTCCGAAATCGATTTTCAAGTCACTGAAACGAAGGCTTTTTCTTCGCAGGATTTTGACCGTTTCACTGCCCCTTCTTTCGCCGCATTTCCGCCACCTATATAGCTGCCTATTAGCATTTAGGCGAAGTAGGAAACCATCGTGCCAACTGCCTTTAATGAAGCATCGGAGATAGTACAAAATAAAGTTAAAGTGTAAGTATTATGCACCTCGTCGTGCCATCCAGAATCCATCGAGCTATCCGACTTGGCGCCATGGCGTTTCGCCATTACTTGGTCAAGATGTAAGTACAGTCCTCATCCCATTGGAAGCGGTGGGGGCGTGTCAGCAATGAGATGTGCACACTGTTGAAGCCGTTCTCAGCCTTTTTGTCGAAACGCGTATGCGACAAAAAGTGGTAGAAAACAAGTAATACGAAGGATATAAGTAATACATATATACAGTAATGTCACTTGCCCGCTTCAACAACTGGTGCAGAACGACTTTGGCACCGCGCCAAACGCAGCCGCACTGACACGCCCCACCGGTCCGCAATGATGAGGACTGTACATATCATGCAATAACACGTGGCATGCACCAAAGAAACAGTGATGTCCTTATCAGCGTTCTGCTCCATGTCGGTGGAAGATAGAATAACGTTGACAAACAGACAATGTAAGCCTAAATGGTTAACAAATTCTACAGTGTCATAGTATAAGCGCAAAGCCGCTTTGCTCTAATCGTAAAGTTGATGCAATTTGTGATAACGGCCACTTATCGCGGCGCACGACAGAGCGCCAACCTGCGATTGTCTTGACCGCCTTCCATATAGGAGCGGTATTCTGAACTGTTCCCAAAAGAAGTGTGGAAAGAGGTGCGCTTGCACGTCTGATGACTTTCTACGCATCCAACGACCTCAGACACCAGACATTTTTCAGCATGGCATTATGAACCTTCGCATTTTGGAGTCCGCGCTCCCTTCCCCATGAATATAAACTCATACGCATGGCTCGCAACATATTTTAACGCATCTTTGCAATGGTTAGGCAGGCCCGCATTTCCGCGGGTTTTTTCTGCGTTATGACCTTTGCTGCGTGCAAGGAGTCCCGGTTGAAAAGTCTCCTTGTTAGCGTAATCTCAAAAAAAGATGAAAGCGTGCTTTGTCCGAGTCTAAACTTCTTTGCGCATCAGGCATTCCTGTGTATTGTTCATGTTCAGTCAGGACTGGTCCGGCGCCACCATTTTTACGAGGCTTCCAACCCCTAGTGGTTTCCAACCTCAGAATGAAAACATTAAGCTGCATTCATATTTTGCGGCAGCATCCACCAGCAACCACCAATGTTTTCGAGCGCCAGTCAGCGCTAGCGACTAGGAAAGTACAGATATCTATCGAGCAAACGGCAGTGTCTACCTGCGTCTCGAGGGACTAACAAGTAGTTGTGAGAAAGTATGGATAGCTGGTCTGGCGTCTGCCAGCGTCCACCAGCGACCAGGAATATGGTATTGTGTAGTAGTAACTGTTGCACACCCATAATTTCACGACGGCCAACCCAGCTTCTCCTCCCTCCTGCTAACCCATACTCTATCAGTAGTCTTCTACCCTCTTACTTTCCCGTACTCTCCATCTTGTCGCCGGTGGACGCTCGTAGACGCTGCCGCTCGCTAAATCAATATCTACACTTTCCTGGTCGCTGACGGACGCTCGAAATGCTGATGGCACGATTGGTGAACGCTGCCGCGAAGTATGATAGCAGCCTTGAACTAACCGCGAAAAAGAATAGTCAGCCTGTTGGGAAAGATGTTGGGAGATACCCAGCATCTTTCTCTAGCAGTACTGATAGTCAACATGGTACAAGTGGTTTATTGAGTGTCCACTGTGCGACCACTACCTTTCTTCAGTGAATGAAAAACCATGTAGGATACTGTTTCTAAGCACAAGTCAACAGTTGTTATTCAGATAACACTCGCGGTAATGGCATGTGTTTGCCCATTTATGGCATGTGGAGCTACACTTGGAGCGATGTTCTGGTTAGGGTTACGATTCGGATCCATACTCTGTGTCACGCCGTTCCTCGTGTTGGCTATTGGAGTTGACGACGCATACCTGATGACAAACGCGTGGCAGAGAATCACCAGTGAGAGGAGGTTTGTTGCAATGATTTCTCAGCTGATGTACAACACCACTGACATATTTCTGCCACGGTTAAAGTCCCAGCTGGACGAGCTTCGCGGGATTTACCGTCGTGCCCTTGTTCTCCATGGTGCTTAAACAGTGGATTTAGGGGTAGTCCATTTCGGATATGTCCTACTAGCCAAATGCATGCACGACCAGCTAAACGCAGCCGTGGCGGAATGAAACCCCATGTCCTAGTTGTTGGTGAAGTATTGCCCCATAAGTGAGTGTCTGTGAATATATTTTCTCATACTCGTCATGATAATGAGTATTTAGGAAAACCCTTTCGGACAATGTGGATTCCGAGGTCCGCCATAGGATTGTGGAGATGCTGGTCGAGACTGGACCATCGGTGAGACCTCGAGCTTTGCTCCTGATCAGTCCTTGATTCACCTTCCATCTGCCTTTTTCAGGTGTCCATCACAACAATTACGAATGTCTTGGCATTCGGCATTGGAGCGTTCACTCCCACGCCAGAAATCCAGCTCTTCAGCATTGGTAACGCCGCTGCTGTTGTTGTCGACTTCATATTCCAGGTAAATTGAGTGGAAGGAAACCGGTGTCATACACAGCTGTTGTGCTTTGCACATGAAACAAAACGACACGCGTGGGATACTTCTCCCACGCACCTCTTCAAACGTCTTCAAGTTCTCAAGTGGTTGAATTTCGAGAGCCTTGTTTGTCCCTACAAGTGCAATCGCTAAGTGGCTTCAATGTCACATTGGAACAAGAGCCATTGAACTTTTTCGTGTCCCTAAAAAGATCCTGGAATCCATTGACCCATCGGCCCTCCGTATTAGTTCAACTAACTGAGCAATTAGTACTACATGTGTAGAACAATAAAAATTAGGAGACTTTGAGAATTAAAAATTGTAAAGGAGCTGTAGAAAAATGAAGTGTTGTCAGTGTTGATCGATCCCAGTTAAGGTGCGCCAAGCATTGCTCTTCCACTGGGTATCGTGTTGGTCTTCTGACCACGGATTCGCTAACAGAGTGCTTTATGTGAGCAGTCGATGTACAACTCAGATGTTTTCTTCTCCCAGACAAATATGCCGTGTCACCAGCACATGTCCATAGTTGTGGGAGACTGCTTTGGTCCAATATTCGATTTCCGAACTGCACTGGTAGTGAGCGATACCAACTGCCGCTTCCCCCCCGCTATGCCCCCCCCAGAGAGGGATATTCCTATCAGAGCACGTCCTACCAGCAGAGAAGAATTTTGCGAAATAGCATTATCCTCAAGATTTCCTTTTCTGTTACGACGACCTACGACCCCCCCCTCCCTCTCCTTTTCCTCATCCCTCAGCCTTCTTGAACTCCCCGACCTACTGCCGCTTTTCCACTCCTTTCTTCCAGGCTCTTTTCTTCCAGAAATTCCCATCCAAAAATCCCTCCGTTTTTTTTGGTTTTTCACCCAAAAAACAGCCGTCATTCGAGCTTGGCAATATATAGCCGCCGAAAAAAAACTCGGAGCAAGCCCAAGTCACGCACTTTTTGTTAGTTTTACCTACAGTTTCCGAACTGCATATGGGAAATTTGTTTGTCCAAATCAAATACGCTTAAAAAAGCTATGCTGAAAATTAGAGTTGGTTAATTGAACTTGTTTCAAATATTACTGCGATGGAACACACCGCTGCCCACTATGTCGGACCGGTTTTCAGAATTTCTAATGCTTTGGGAAAATTAAAGGTTGCTTGAGAGTTGTAAAAAAAAGTAAAGGAAGAAGCAGTGAACACTCAGACAGATGTGTTCCTTCTTCTGATTGGACTATGTGGGGACTAAGACATGACAGATTATCATACCATCGTGTACGCTGATGAACATCCGAGCCAGGGTACACCACCGTTGTGCGAACTCATCGGGGAAGTGGGTGTCGTATTTAAGCCGCTGTGGAAGGGGTCGTAAACGCAGGGTCGGTAAGCACCAAACAGCACCCAATATCAATAGTAAGGATGAACTCGTAATTACGTAGATGACTAAATAATACATCTCAAACAGATTCGTGCGTATCGACCTTTCCAAACCCTAAACAAACATCTGCTTGCATGGACAAAAATCACCTGAAATCAGAAGTTACACCTTTCCACCACCTCTGCGTAGAAGCGTAATGCACGGCGCACACTCGGACCAAATCGATCGATGATAACCAAATTATGCTTTGACTCAGTTCAACGGGAATATGTGTTTTGAAGGCATATTGAAGTTCGCGAATGAGTATCCTTACAATGGCACAGAAGGAGTCGAGCTTTTGAGTAACTCAAAATGTCGCTAAAGTGACCCATCTAAAATATCTCCTAAAATAGGGATCTTGAAGGCTGTTGGCACGGTAATTTGGTACTCGGACTAAAATGCTAGCAGGGCGCTATATAGTGGGGAAAATGGCGAAAAAACGAAGTGAAACGGTAAAAACCTGCGAAGAAAAGCCTTTGTTCTAGTGACTCAAGAAGCGATTTCGGACGAGTTCCCGTTGGCATCTTGCCAATAACCGCTACGATAGGTACGGCTGCACGTATGTACTCATATATACATGCAGCACCCCGCGGCCGCTTCATACTTTACTTTAGAAATGAAGCAATAGGAGCATCAGGTACAGTCGTCCATTTGTGGGCGGGCGGGCGCGGTGTGTGGCCGGTATGTTGCAGCTGATGGGCCTCCTATAAGGGTCCTTCCCTTGAAAAAAGCGCTATGCAGCGCCTAGTCAGGGCCGCAGAATTCCGTGCCAGGCGTATTATCCTCCTCGTCTCAAGGATTTACTGCCATCTGCCTTTAAGGAAAACTCTGTTAGACTTGCTGAAAGATCAAATTATTGTTATGCTTCCTAGCGCGACTGTATCTTGCAGAATATTGTAAGAAGGTATTCTCGTCTGACACATAAAAACCTCTCGCATCCAATCTTTACCACCGACGCGTCCGTAACTCACCCGAAATACTCCATGGACGGGAGAAGATTCAGATTGAGAGTAGGTACAAACGCAGCAGGAAGGCATCACTTCAAAATGCCGCTTTCCGTGTTCCCAAAAGCTCCACTTCTAAAAAGCTATAAGCCCAGAGAAGCAATCCACGATTCCACCCGGCCAATAAGACTACCTCCACTGCTAATTTGCCATGGAACACAGCGCTAACGAGTCGTTACGTATCTAATCCTTCTCGTCAAGCTCGAATAAGAGAGTGTCAACTTTTTGACCTTTTTCAGACGCCTGCTTCGTCAACTTCCATTTTAGAGTAGTGGTGGCTACGAATGTGAAATGCAGTAGCAATGCCTTGTGTGCGAGTCGGAAGTGAGGGGAGGAGCTGCGACGAAGTAGAAGTCGAACGTTTTCATCTCTAGACGGGTGTAGTACTAATAAGATTTCCCTATAGGAATGGAAATCTCGGTTGACTGGGGCGCGAGCCGATCCCGGATTTGAACCCCTCACAACGCGTGTAACGGAGTGCGCACACTTGACACCAGCTGGTTACTTCCCGCTTAAACAAGTTTTGAAATTATTGTGCAATAACATTGTATTCCTAGCTTCTGAGTGTAGTACTAGTGTCTGAGGAGAGAACAGATAGCTTCAAACAGGTGAAAATGCCATTTCAATGTTTGCTCCAAGTTTTTTTTTGCGGCTGTAGCACATATAACGCACGTGGAAGAAGACAACAGGAGAAAAGTCAACAAACGAAAACATTTTTCTTCACCCCCTTCCAGCTGCCAAATTCGATCTTCGCCGAGGATCCCCAGATCCACCTGGTTCATGAGAAGCTAAGCAAAAAAATGTCATCCGTTCACACTGCTCACGTCTGTGTGTATGGGTCCTTATGTCCTATTGGTAAACGAACGTTTATCATGAGTCATGAAGTATTGCAATGGTTAATGTTGCGCAAGTTCAATATCGCTGGGAACTATCAATGTCCTAAGGCGGAGGACGACCCATATGAGCCATAATTTTCCAATAATTCCATAATTAATGCCATAATTTTGAGCCAGTATTTTCTTGCATGCAGTACGAGTGTGAACCGAATCTACCCGCTTTTCGGTGTGGTAATCGGTAGTTCTACCCTGCAAACGACCACTCATGTTCTGTTCCTACATTTGAATTCGCACTCGCACATATCTACAGGAGGGGGGGGGGCATTAAAAAAGACACTTTTGCCGATCAGTAAAGGTACGCAGCCCAGATAGATGACGTGACAAGTACCAGGGTGGAAATACCCAAAATGTTCTCCATAAGCAGCAGAGCAGTCTCAGTCCATACCTTCACGTCCACCAAAATATAAGGTTATCTCCAATCGCAGTCGAGCTGGAAAAGGCCTATGGAATTCACGTCACCTCCAAACCAGCTGCGAAACTTCTTGTATGGAGTCACCCATGGACAGCTACCTGGGGACCAGCACTCTTGATCTGGAAGACCTCCAACATCGAGCAGCTCCGACAACGTCGCTACGGTCCAGGATATCATCTTCACCGCAGTCGCCAAGGCGCGGGTTGGTGGTATGGACCGGAAGTTCCTGGAATGGAAAGACGGCGCAGTTTGTCGACGGGGGGGGGGGGGCATTCTGCTTTCCATAGATGTGCCGACCCATCTAGGTAGCCTTTTCTCGAGTTGACACGTTTTAGGATGCACAAGGGTTCACAAGTTTTACCAGGGTGAGATTTGTAAACCGGAACTAGGGAAGCAATGATAGTACAAAATGCCCCCCCCCGTCGACAAACAGCGCCTGGAAAGACTGTTATTTTCTTCCCGTCCCAAAGTGGAAGCTGACGGTTACATAGGGCAACTCGAGGAGAGATTATTCTACCTTCGCGTCTTCGCCCGTACCATCTTGTACTGCTACAGGATTGGGTGCCAGCCACCACACGGAATCGAAGGGCGTTGGAAAAACTCTCGCCTACTTGGAATGGAAGGGCGTTGAGTATCTGAAGAAGACGGAATATCTAAGTGTGTCACCTGACCTAAACCCCCTCGATTACCGGGTCCGAGCGGAGCTCAACAGGGTGGTCTACAGTGGCGGAGAAATCAACGACCTCGCTGAACTCAGGCACCGAATCACAGTCGGCAGAATCTCTCGTTCATAGCGCCTTGAAAGTCGAGTAAGAAAAGTGTCCTTTTTTTATTGGGCCCCCTGTATACACGCGGTGCACATGATAGATAACTTTTTGGTCCCTTTGCATCAAACAGTTCACAAATAATAAGTCTCTGTTTTGCGCTAAGTATCGCGTTCAGAATTACTATGTTGTTTGATCAGGAAATGAACGGGAAACAACAACAGCCATTCATCGATCACCCATTGTTTCGCCACTCTTACTTTGTGCGCTTGCAAACTAACTAAAGCCAGTTTCCTCTTTAGGATAAAAGCGTAACGTCCAAAACCAGAAGTATTCATCTCTGGGAAGGGATGCAATTGAGTGACAGGTAGTGGGTGCGAGCGATGTGGTGGCGAATGTGGAGACTCTGTGCTGCTGCTCATCCTTGTTATTCGCTTACCACCTTCTCATTGTTAGACCTCAAAACCATTGCGGTAAATGAAATAGAGAAGAACGTCACCATTCACCCCAACACCACCA